TCCACTGTACAAGCACCTCTGTAGAAACACTTGGAGGCGCCGGCCCACGTGCAGCTTCCTGCGCGAAGCAGTTTTAGTGCCGCCAGAAGAAGAAGCAGAGTCCGCAGCGCCCCAAAAAGCCGGACTGGAAGCGCTGGACGCGCCTCGCCAAGTTCGGCAACTTGAGCGTTGCGGATTGGCAGGTGCTGCGCCGGATGGGGTTCTCAGCCTCAAGGGCGCACCTGGAGCTCTTGCCAGTGATGGCCGATTCGGAAGGGCTGTGGACCTACCCATGGATCACGGCAGACACCGTCTTCCCGGTGAGCTTCTGCCAAGATCCGGGGAGTTGTGGTCTGCAAGACATGTCGGATCTGGCTACCGCGCGTGCAGTAACTGTACAAAATCGGTACCGCGCTGTGATGGCACGCTGGTTGGGCAGACGTCTGCCCGGCTACGGCAGCCGCGTGGACGAGCTCTGTGAGCAGCTCATAAAAGAGATGCCCGTGGAGTACCTGAAAAGTCGCACGGTTCTGGCTGACAGCACTATCGGCGTGGTCCACCTGCTCCGCTTCTCAAAGTATCTGAAGCTCGGAGCCTCGCACCTTGAACCGTAACAGAAGAGGCGAGACCAAGGCTTAACACAGAGACTCCAGTTCTACAAGCGCCACTACACTTCCGAGGACTGCCGCTTCGAGAGCCTGCCTGTGGTGGTTGTCTGTCGCACTGCAGCCCAGGCACTGCTCCTGGAGGGGTTTCTACATCGCTTCATGCGACGGTGGTATCCCCAGATGGTCATGGAGGAGTCTGACTCCAACGAGCTCTACAGCCTCGACGCGCAGGACGTCAGCTGCACTGGCGCGCACAGCGCTCGGCTCGCGAGCTGAAGGTCTGGAAGCAGTGGTTCGACGGGCCGACCGGCGTCCTTGCCTCCACGGAAAACGCTCTGCCAGAGGAGAACTCGAGCTGGTACCTCTGAGAGAGCGCTCTTTTTCCCTCCCCCCCCCTCGACCACCGATCCTCTAGGGATCCTTTCGGCAGGGGACGTACAGCACTTGCAGCCTTCGAGCTGTCGAATTCGTCACGCTTGCAGCTCCAAAAAAAAACAGTGTGGATGCCTGCTTGGCCTCTGCTGCTTACGCGACGCCGTGTGTCTTTGTGGATATGTGTAAGCTATCGATGTGTGTGCGTGCGTGTACAGCACGCTGTACGAGACACGAACTGAGGTGCATGCCGGAAGTTCGCCAAGGAGACCTACGGGCTGTTTGGGTGCGTGGCTTGCCTCCGGCTTTGTGTCATGCGTTTGACTCCGTCCGCTTTTACCTGCCTTTACCTAGATGACTGAGCCAGATTTGGGAGGCGAAAGACCAGCCAGACCAAGTGCAGGCAAAAGACAGAATCGAAATATCACTAAACCTCACCCAAGCGGCATGCCCGTGGCCTTGTGCTGTGAGAGACCGAAAACGAGGGGAGGGTGGAGATCGATTTTAAAATTCACCCCATGGAATGCTCAGGCCTTAGGCGTCCGCATGGCAGGCAGCACTGGCTTTCCGTTGACCCCACCGCAGAAAACACGAGGCTTTGCAGTCTCACCAATACATGATATCGTTGGGGTAGATCAGAGGGAACGACAGAAGCAGCGGAAGCTGTTGAATCCTGCTGATAACGATGGGTTTTGCTATAGGCATAAGTAGAAGATTCGCTAATGAACGCGGAAGGATGTTCTGGATTCGATCAAGCCCCAATGCCAATGAAGCCCAGTGTCTTCCAGGGGTATCAGCATGTTTTCAGGAGGGTGCAGGGGGGGAGACGCGGTGTTCGCCTCCAAACCGGAACAATCCGCCAGGGTCGGCGGATACAAGGCTATGGAAATACATCTACAAGTAAGGAGCAGAAAACAACATAGAGTACATATGCAGCCAAAAGCCTGTGCCCCTCGTCGTTGCGGTGCAATGTGTACCACGGCCACTTGTCAGTCCAAGGCCTTGAAACTGGAGGGCGACAATGCACCAGCACAGCTGCAGGAGTTGTACCAAGCTTTGGTCTCAGCCGCGCTTTCCTAGCCTGCGCCTTTTGGAAGAGTGGCAAACTGCTCAGGGCCTGGCGAATTTGCCGCTCATGCTCAGATCCAGCGAGGCCCTCCGTCCTCCGAGTTCAAGCCTCCCTGGCCCTGACCCTTCTTGGACCTTGGAGGAGTGGGCTCACCTGCAGCTCCTAGACGATGGCGCACGGATCTTCTACAACGACATTCACGAGTACTTCTTGTACATGCTCTGCGTGCCGTATGTTCCCGAGGATGTGAGGGCCAGGGGCGGTTGTCTGTCGGCTCGGCCTGGGTTTCTTTTGCATGTCAGGACGTCCTCAATGAGGTGTCCAAGATCGTCGACAATCGGAAACGGGTTTTCAGGCGAGCTGCCGCTACTCATACGATGTTGAAGCTGTGGATGCGCCTGAAAAGGTGGATGACAATGGAGGAGCTTGCACAAGAAGTAATGGCACCAAGACTTCACACAGCGAGCTTGGCAGAGGCCTGTCCTGCGTGCTTAGTGTCAGCACTCTGTTTCTTGCGTAGTGGCCGACAGGCACTCGAGAATCTCCAAGAGGATCCTTTGGTCTTTCCAAGCCGGGCCTACGGCAGTGCAGCCAGCAATGTGGCGACGGGAAGCTTCGCGGCGGCTGTTGTGCGATGAGGCGAGTCTGAGGATCCCTGAAAATCAGGATCCTAATGCTCATGCATGGCCGCTGCTTATTGTCTGGAACCTTGCCGCGGTACGTACAACTGCTAGCAGAACTGATGTCAGTCTGTTCAGCATAAGCGAGGACCGGATCTTGCAAGAACCACTTGCCGATCTTGTTCTATGCAGATTCCCAGCGCATTTCTGCTCGAAGAGCAGGTGTCGTTTTCGAACGGCCGTTTGCACGCTCGGGAGTAAGTGCGGCAAGATTCACGCAGCGTGGTCTTTGTTTTGATTCTTGTTGGAGTACGACGGTTGTCGTGCGGAGGCCTTGATTCGGTCATGTCCTTTAAGGCTCGCCAGGAAAGGCCTCACTTCGAATCGCTTCAGCTGACGGCTTGGGGAGATCAGACGTAGATCAAGTTTCAAGTAGCGCCAGTGCAGACAAAGCATGACAAATCTCGCCTTGGCCTTGCAAGTGTGTTTGCACTTGCTGAAGCGATACCAAGTTTTGATGTCCCCTTCGAAGAAGGTCTGGGCCATAAAAGCTGCAAAGCAGCAGTGAGGAGATTGATCGGAGAGTCAGCACAGGATGGAAACATCAGCTCAAATCTGTGTGAGCTTTCCTGCAGGCAGCCTCACGAGTAGCCTGCACTCACAGCTGGAAAGAAGGTCTGGCATCATGAAGGAGCTTCTGAAATCTCAGGTCCAATGCGCGGTGCCTGCCCAAGATAAGGGGTCAGTGAGTCGCATGATTCGTGCAACTTGCTTTTTTTGGGAATTCGCGGGCAGGGTTGTGTAAGTTCAACTATGGGACCAGTCGTCAGTTGTGGGATACGGGCCACGGGACTCCAGGTTGGTCACTCAGCAGCATGGAAACGTAGCACAGACGGCAGGGACTGTCACTCTTTATGTCCCTTCACGGGCAGAGATTGCCCCAAGCACACCTTGCAGCACAGAAAAGCAGTTTTTCTGTACCTTTGGCCGTCACCGCTCTGGCGGTCGACTCGAGACAGGCCATCGATTTCGGGGTCGTGTTCTAGTCAGCAAACTGATCCACGCAAGCGCGCGCGCAATATGGTCTTCTGTGACATTGGATGCACTTCCAAAAGTCTCGTAGAGATCTTGGGCGAATTGGCGCATCTTAGATGCACAAGATCGAACGCTGCACCGGTGTTTGTGCCACAGATCACACATCTCAATGCATTTGTAGGGCAACCTCGGGAAAGGGCTTGGCAAGCAGGAAAGAAGTGGGGTATGGTGGGGTATTCGCCACTACATTGCACATTGCTACTGCAGCTCAGGTGCGCCTTGAAAGCCGCGTTCGCCTGGCTAACCGGGCCGGCGGCATCGCCTTCTGCACGTGCCCGAGTCTGTTTGGGAAGTTTGCACTAGATGGAGAGCTGCATGATTGGTGCATCAATGTGGGCTTCCACATGAAAGCAATGGTTGCTCGCTGACTGTGATCTTTCGGTTTGGAGCAAGAGGGAAAGGGATCGGAGAGACGAGTTGTATGGCTTCATGGTATTGATGGCTCAGCTACGATTGGCTTCTCTCGGACTTTCTGCTCAGGATGTTATACAGAATAGATAGATTCAACCTGCATCTGTCATTGCAGCACCTGCAGTGAGTGTCAGTGAACTGTCAGTGGGCAGTCATGGTCAGCGATCGTGATGTGTGTCTTCTCCCGTGCTGAGCAAGAGCAAACAAAGTTGGGTTCTTGCTGCATCCCATCGACAGTTCCCAAGAAGTGATTTCCGCACCTGCGCGTTGGTCTTGGGCACCATGGCAGCGCATGGACAGCCGCGCCCGCAACAGCCCCGGATCCAGGCCAGCGACATGGTAACGATTCACTGTCATCGAGAAAGCATGCTTGCCCGCAGCGTCATTCTTGGACTAAGCTGCTACAAGTACATTCTGAGCCGCCATTGTTGATTGACAAATCAGGCCAGCGTGCGCCGAGAGAACGGGTCAGGTGGCCGCCCTCGCCAGGCGCTCGCTCTGGGAGCGAGCCGTATGCCTGGCAGCAGAGACCCCGGTAACTTGGACGGCGGCCAACACGTACAGAAGCCGTCAGTCGCCGTTTCGGCCAATACTCCCCACATGCTCAGGCAGACCTTGGCGACAGGCGGCTCAAGGATGCCGCCCTGGCGGCATTTTCACGCTCTCGCCGCTGGCGCGAAGCCAACTTGCCTGCAATAGTCACAGAACATTCTGCTCAGGATGTTCGTCCCAGCTTAGTGCGATTTATGTTTCGAAGCGAGGTTGTCTTGAGCCTGAAGCTGCAGTCAGGTTCTGGAACTTGTGCCGTTGAGCCCAAGCACGAGCAGCAACCGGACAGCAATAAACGGAGCTGTTTTTTTAGGTTCGTGGGAGTGCATAGCACAAGCTGCGTGAAGACGGCACGTTGAGGGTCAAGCCTCGTATGGCCGTGCTCCAAGTGCAAGAGCGGCTGCATCTTGCAGTAATGATGTCGTGATCCGGTCCCGATCTCGATCTCGATCTCTTGCAGGCTGCAACGTGGCGCTCGCTGCCTGCCAGCGAGCACGGAGGTGGGCCTTGGCCTTGTGCTTCCTCGAGGCCGGAGCAGAGGCAGAGCAGGCAGAGGCGGTCAGAAGCGTGGTTTGCGAGATCCGCGCTTTCCTGCTCTTAGGTGCCTGTTTGCCCCGACCTTCAAAGCTACAATTCCGCCATTGCGGCCTGGAGCACGGCACCAAAGAGCGCTGCGGCTGCGGCCTAGCTGCATTTAACGGGGATGCCTCGGCCTCGATCGGCCTCGGTTCGGTGACCCCGCTTGCCCTGCTTGCGGCTCTCTGAGTGAGGCTGGCGCCGGCGCGCTGGTTGCGGCACTACGTTCCGCAGGTGGCGAACCGGACCAGGCCAGGCGCGCAAAGCCGCGCAGTCAGTGTGCCTGGCCTGGTCGAAACCGTGCGCAGACTGCAGGTGACTTGCAACAGCTGGGCCAAGGCTCGCAAAAATGTTGGGGCCATGGTTTCCCGAGCGCGGGGGGTGGCAAGGAGCAATCAATACAGTGTCCTTGAAGGGCTGCGGTCGCAGAACCCGAGCGGGCCAAGCGCGGTGTGTTGTATTGCTCAGGCTTGTGCTCGCTCAGACTTGTGGCAAGATGCATTTCGGATAGTCTTTCACGTGGCTGACAAGGCCGGCACCTCGGCACATCGTCACGTCTCATCTCTCATGGTCAGTGGCAGAAGCCATGAAAGACAGGCTGCTTCTTCTCATCAGCTGAAGGTGGACTCGGTGGGTGCCACTGCGGCCGTTTCGGCATCGCCTCGATGGAGGTCCTCGTTGGCTTGCGTCGCCACCTTGCGGCTGAGAGGCTGCGAGCTCGCGGCTTGGCTCAGCGCCAGCAAAGCTGTCAGCACATATTTGGGAAAAGTTGCAGAAGTCGGCGCCAGGACACCACGCTGCTAAACGCCGCCATCGCTTCATGCTCAGCAGCGACACAGTGGCAGCCGGCCCTCCAGATTCTTCATGATCTCGTGTCGCCAAGCTCCTCGGCATGCGAGCCTGAGATCGGCCTTTGTGGAGTTCAAAGTCAAGAGGTCGGCGAAGCAAGGGCTCCGAGACGGCTAGACGGCTAGCGGCTAGAATCATTGTGAGAGACGGAAAGTGATGACGCCCAAGGCAGCAAGAGACGTCCGGACATTGTGACTTGCAACACTGTGCCTTCGAGACAAGTTCAGAGCTGCGGAAGTCGCGAATGATGCCCAACGTGCGGTCACGTAGCAGCTGGGGTGTAGAAGAGGAGGTTATGCCACTGTTGACTTAAAGCTGACCTATGCTGTACAGTCATGATTGCAGTCTCTTCCGCAGAGAGCCCTCACGCACCCAGACACACAGAGCGCATGAAAGAGCATTCAAGCACTGCAAGAAGAAAATGAACAGAGAAGACGAACTCCGAGTCCTGGTTCGGTTCTGTGTGCAAACGAGAACATTTCAAGGCATGAGATTTACGCGGTGCTTCTCCGGCTCAGGTTGTGGTAGCGTGCGGCCGTGCTGCACAGGCGATGCACGCTGCCCAGCGGTGATCTCAGTCTCCGCCTGAGCTCAGGGATCTCTGCGGCCGAAAGTCCTGGCCGTCCTGGCGCATGTGGAGACTTCGTGGGCACCTCAGCGCCATGCTCGAGGCCTTCCATGCGTGTTTATCGCTGCTCTCAGGTCGCTGAGACCGAATGCCATTACGGTGAACTCGCTGCTGAGCGCTTGTGACGCCAGAGGCCGCGGCCACTGCTTTCGACTGCCCAAGCCTGGAAGCCTTCGTGGCGCTTCGCGGTCCTCGCGGTGCGGAGGAGACTGGGAGATGGCGTGCAGCCTGCTGCAGCGTTACCGTCGACGTCATGTGGAAGCAGTTCGGGCCTCAAAGTCAGGACGGAGAGTTCGCGACCTCGCAGCCGTCGCAGCGTGCAGGACACCGCTTCCGTGACTTCGTGCCTGAGTGCCACAGCACGCAGCTCGCAGTGGATGGCGGCCCGAATGTCACGTGGCAGGGCACTGTGACCTTGTTGGTCACTGTCCCAAGCATGGCCTTCAATGCCCAGAAAGTGTGTCCAGGCTATTGGCAGCTTGTGGTCATGCCGGAGTACGCAGCGACCGACATGCAGAGCCTCGACTGTCAAGCATAGCCTGAGCGTGGACCGGTATCAAGCGCGTTTCTCGACTAGGATTCAAGTCTTCCGACTCGACAGCTCCTGCCCTACACGAAGCTCAGGAAAGTGTTGGCATTCTCGCCGGCAGTCGGGGCTTTGCTTGGAACACTGCCGCTTTGTAGCAACGCCGAAGCTGCGCAGTGGGTGTTGCAACTTCCTGGTACCATAGCTCAGCAGTTTCTGTGTATGCACGGCACGCCGCGCCGTTTTCGCTGAGGCTTGGCTGTGCTTGAGTGACATGGGCACAGCTGTGTTGGACTGGACCGATCAGTGGGAAGCATCTGCAGCACTCTGGGCGCTTCTCAGTTCCCGAGGCATATGCCGCGAGGGATTCTAAAAAGCCCGGGCCGGGAGCCGCTGTTGTCCTTGCCAGGCATGGAGCCCACGACGGAGCTCTGGAATTCGGCTGCTGGGCAAAAACGTGGCAAAGCCTCCCTGGAACAAGTTTACTAAACCCTAAAAGTTCGTGCCCCAAAATCCTCCTCTGCTGAACTTAGCAAAAGCTGGTACGAGACGCGAATGCTCCTCGGTCCCGATCTTGATGGATCTATTGGTAAGTTTGGAATACGTGGAGTTTTCGCGTAGACTCTGTGTAATCGCAGAATATGCTTAGCCGCCTGTGCGCTTTTGTTCGAATCTGCTGGTGCAGCTGTGGCCTAGGTAATGGTTGTTGTATATCTATCTGGCTTTTTTGACATGTATAGGAGGGAGAAGCTATACCCACATGTAGAACTGCTTTGTAGCCGACTGTTGTTGTGCCGTGCCTCGGCGGTGATGGTCTTAGATTTTCGGTCTTAGATGGATGCTTCTGAGCTTGGACTTGGAATGGGATGCTGTTCATCGTGTCACGCCAACTTCGCACCATGAACCTCGCCTGGCTTGTCCGAGTTGTGAGAGCGTAAACCCTAAACCGTGCTTTCAGGTCCTCGCTTCTGGTCCCTGGCAGAGGGCAGTGCTGCGTCTTCGTGCTGCGCAACGCGCACATCTAGCTGACCAGGCACTGGCCTAGGTGCGTCTTGCGACACTATGTCACAATGTCCGACCCCATCTCTAAGTGATGATCTGGGTATATCTGGGTGATGGCTCGCGAATGGCCGATGATCCCATGCTCCATCAGCTAGCCTAAATTGGTTGAAACTACAAGGGCGAACGCTTCAGGATCTACGGTCTCCCGAAGGCTGAAAGCAGGCCGATTGCTTGAGTGCCAAGACTCCCGAAGTAATGTTTTGTTGAAATGCATTTCCGGAGGATAGATGTATTGTAGGTTGGCTTCTGAGATTGCGCGTTGGTCCTGCGGGCACAAGCACCTGCATCGTGGGTCCTCTCTGGGTACTTGCTACCAGTAGGGTGGGGTGACATGGAGTGACCTTGTCGGCTGTGCCAACCAGCCGACCTAGTGATGTTATCTGCCGAGTAGCACAACCAAAGAGCGGGAGGCGACCTCTGGCTTAAGCCGATGCAAGGGTGAGGCAGACCCACTACACGAAAAGAAGGACAAGGTGATGAAAGATGAAGGCTTGCACCAGCCTGCGAGAGTTTGGCAAGCTTGAGTCTCCAGAAAACCGCCAGGCATCCTGCAATGCTGCGATGAGCACATGTTCACACAGCCGCTGCTGGACAGCAGAGGGACCTTTCCACATGTCGACGAGAGACTTGTCGCCGAGGCTCTTGGCTTCGGGCACTGCGCCTCGGAGAGCAGAGTCAGAGAGCGTCACGTCGTGTTGGGAGCGTTGCGAGCCGGCCGAGATCGCCGGCCGGGCCGTTGCTGGTTTTGTGCAAGCAGAGATGGGGACCCAAAGCTCCAAAGCTAGACACGGAAAGCCTCAGAAGAGCCCCGGGCCCCGGCATTAACACTTCCCAGGTCCTTGCTGGACGAGTCCCGTCGCGGTCTCCGTGGTGGCGAGGACGCCATGGTGGCCTTCAACACCGCCATGTCGAACCCTGGCACAGGAATATAACTGCAGCATGTTGCAGAGCCAGACCCCATGCTCGCAGAGACCGCAGAGTTCACTTGCAGGTTACTTGTAGTAATTCAGCCGTGAGAGAGAGACAGAGAAGCGTCTCTTTCGCAGGGGAAGGAGGTCTTGAACCACTAACAGCAAGCAAGCAAGCAAACATGCCTGTCCTTGGTTTCACTCCCTCCTGGAAGTCCCAACAGCACGGGCGGCCCTGTGGCTCGCGGTGGAGCCATGAACACGCCCCCGCCTTCCTTGGGCATGCTCGACAGGGGGCCAAGGACGGGGGTGCGCGAACTGCGCGTACTGCCCGTGTCTCTTGGCCCGAGCGAAGAAGAGAGGGCGAGAGAAAGTAAGAGCGCAAGCAGACAAGAGAAGGACAGCGAGCGAGCAACCGATAGTCAGGTGCTCCGAGAATGTTGAGACGTGGACAAGATGCTTGCATTTGCTTCATGAGCTCCAGGAGGCAGGGTTTGGGAAGGCAGGCTTGCGCCACATGAGTGCACTTTGCCCAACGATAAGGCAAGAGCTCCTTCAGACCAAAAGAGCTACCGCTCTCCGATTCGCATGGCCGGCCACGGCTTATGTTGCCTGGCATCAGGGGTTGGTGTGGTGCATGTCGAACCCCAGTTTCCAGGCAAATCCTCGCAATCTCAAGTCGTGCATTCTGTGCCGAGAATGTGCTGTCAGGTTGGGAGTTGGCAGCGACTCTGCATGTTCATATGGTGAGATGCCACTAGACAGCGTTGTTTTCCTGCTGCGTTTGGCTGTGCGTGGGTGTTGTCAGCTGTCTCTTGCTTTACGAAGGGGCCGTGCGAGACTTGTCTCGCAGACTTGGGCACAGCATGTTGGATTGGGCGAGGGGGGACCCCGTCCCATCCAAGGCCGGATTCCGGACCCGGATGCCTCAGCCCTCAGCGCCGCGGCCTGGGCTGCCGAGGCCGCAGAAGCTGCGGCCACCGTGGCAAGGCTGTGCCCGGCGTGGCAGATCAAAGCAACAACTGTGGCAAAAGACCGCCAGGGGCCGGGTTTGATCGACAAGGCCAAATCTGACAGTGTTATGGTACGAAGGCCTGGCAAAGCTCCAGCGGAAAGCGTTGTCGGGTGCCCAGGTTGGTGTGTGGCATTTCCAGACATGGATTCGCACCGGCGTTTCCGCTTCCGAGTTCCCTCCATCCAAGGCGCGGTGCTTGGCGCCAGCTGGGCAACTCCAACCCTGGAACTTCCAGGGATGGTGCCTCTCGTTTGGAAGGCCTGGAAATCCGGATCATCTTGTCATGATGCGGGTCAGAGCAGGAATCTTTTCCGGTCACCTTCTGAAAGCCCTCTAAAGCTCGCGTGAGGCGCCGAGGATGTCCACCCAGCCTCCCGCAGTGGCCTGGGCGCCGCTGCAGCAGCTCAGCCGTGGCCCCCAGCATGGTTGCATGGCCGGTTCCTTTCGGGAGAACTCCACTCCTGTCCGGGCTGGGTCTTCTCCAAGGCTTTGTCCCTGAATGGCGGAAACAGTCTCCAAATCACGAGGTAGTGACAGGTAGTGAAGTGGATATAGTGATTGGCACAGCACACAGAGTTTCGCGAGGTGCTCACCCGAAGTACCAATGTGACATTGCAGTAATGTGAAGAGTTTCATTATGCAGCTTTTCACAGTTTAGGCACTTCTCAGCGGCCTACCCACCGATGGCCCCACCACGTCGCTCGCGGCCTACAGGGCACACGTCAACTGCAGACCTGACGATGCCAAGCGAAGCGCAAACACAAGGGAGGATTTACGAGAGCACCGCTGATAATCCAAGGTAACCCTGGGCGAGGCGGCATGCGGCATGAGTGGCTATGATGACTGTGCGGCCACAGACATCTGTGTACATAACTTAGCAGCACCTTAAATGCCGCAATGCCCCAGAAGTCTGCTCGTCCGACAAAACTGTAATGCATCCTGTGGCTTGCTTCTTGTTGTTGGTCATGTCCAGCGTTTACAGTGCGAACGTGCTTGATGTGCAGTCGTGGCTGCAGTAGTCGCTACTACAGACCTTCGGCTTACACCCAAGTGCAGTGCGGTAGGACACTGAAGAAGAGACTCCGAGCTTGGATTGATTAGCCGAATTACCACGATCCCACTGCCCTCTCACATGTTGCTGTGCACCAGTGCATCCAGTGACCTAGCCTGCGGCAGGTTGTGTAAGCATGGCTTAGGGTACTTCAGCCAATGGAACGAGGCCCCAAATGGGCCAAGGACTTCTGCCATTGGCTCGCTGGCTGTTCCCCGTAAGCTCACCGAAGGGTGGTTTGTGCGGCTTTCACAATCTTTCCCGGGTGCCCTGCACTTCACGCAGCCCCAAAGCCCATGCGAACCTGCAGTTTCAAGGAGCTGTCCAGGCCACTGCCGGGGTCTTGACGTCTGCGAGCACCGGAGCATTGCACATGGCAAGAGCGGAGAGATTGGGGATGTGGCCAGAGTCACACAAGGTTGATGAAACCCCTGCCTTCCTGGGAACGGAAGCCTGGAGCCTGACCTGGGCAGTCCGCGAACTTGCGATGCGTGCTGCCTTTTCGTCAGCAGTCACCGAATTTCACAGTGAGAGTCCAGTGGATTGACACACGCGCATCCGGATTTTGGGGGTTCCGGAACCTTCACAAGGAATGACATGAAACGAATTGCTGCTAGATCGGAACCAGTGGAAATCTGCCAAATGAGGCCACAGATTCTCTGCCAGAGGCGTGTGGCGTCGCGGAGGTCCGACGACAACAAGTTTGCAATGGAACGAGTATGACTACAGTATAGCTAGCGGGTAGCTGAGTAGCTGGCAGTTCAAGGAAGAGAATGTCATAGGCTGCCGAGAGATTGCGGCAGGATGCCAAAGAGAGAGGCTCGGAGCCTTCGCAACCTTCGCTTCGGCGTTACTCCGTTCACCTGCTCGAGCACGGCGCAGCAGAGCCCGGGACCTCACTGTGGATCGGGGGCCGATGACTCTGGCTCTGATGTTCCAGGCTCTTGCGGACATGCTTTTGTCCATGGGCAAACCTGCGGGACATCCTTTATGCAGATGCTGTGTGTCAGGGGCCAAGTAGCCTCAGGGACATGAGCGTCATAGGCTGCTTGACCGAGGCAAGCGCTGGCACCAGCTGTCCCGAGAAGAGCAGTGGATGGAGATGTCCATCCTCCATGGCCCGAAGCCCCAGAGTGACAAGAAGGCGAAAGCCGATGAGGCGATTGACCCTGGCCCGCAGGTCTCAGGATTGTAGGCGTCATGGACATTCGAGGGATATCTTGGTGAGGGATGTTGAGAGTGAGTAGGGATCGAGGCGGAGTCACGGCAAGCCTGCGGCGAGCCCTGTGGCGACACCTCTCGGCCGCACCGCTCTCGGTGCTGTGCAAGCTTCCGCCCTGCAAGCTCGCGCTTGTGGGAAGCTTCCACCGGCTGCGCACTGTGCAGACCCTTCGCAGTTTGGAGTGCCTTTCGCCTTTGCTGAGGTGCAGAATATCGAGCAACGCTCGACTCTCAGCCTCACTCAACTCCTGAGCACGCGTCAATATATCCAAAGAAGCAGGGATGTCCGGCCTGCCCTGGAAAAGCTGTCGCCCTTTCTCACGGTCCATGCCTGCCCTGCAAACCCCGCTCATTGCAGCTTGTTTTGCACCACAGAATTCAAAGTCAATTTCAGATTTCACAGCTCTCCCCTGTGGCTTGCGCCGCCGTCGCCGTAGCTAGCAGAGAGCAAATTGTGATTCTATGTTCTTGATGTGGGCTATGCAGCGCTTCGTGGTTGCAGGCAACCGCTCGGGTAGTGACTCCTGGATGCCCTGAGATGGTGAACGGCACTTTCTCGGGAGCCACGCTGAAACAACTATTGTACAGGTGGTCGGTCTCGTGGTTAACGCAGGCTATATAAGTCGTAACTTGTCTTAGTACTTCATGTGATGCAAGCAGCTCAGCAAGTCAGCTCTGGGAAGCCGGGCTGAAATCAACGAACGCGTTGCATAGGATGCTCTGTCCGAGCTGTTTCTCAAATATGTTTTTGGAGAGTCACGAGCCCAGGCTACCAGCGCGAGCTGGGCGTTGCCTCGGCAAGGGAGGCTTTCGAAGCGCTGCTCAAGAAGCCGCTGCCGGGGACACCTGGAGGTTCTTTCTTCATGGTTTCTTCATGACACCCAAGGAAGCTTCGTTCAAGAGAATCAGAAAGAGATTGTAAGTCTTCGGAGGGAGAGGTGGAGACTTGGGGCGAGAGGACTTGCCCTCCAGCGAGGTTGACCACCTCGCGCAAAAGCACCAAGGTCACAAGCAAAGATCTCCGAGATCGAGCGCGACGTCCACCGCACTTATCCAAGCCACGAGCGCTTCGAGGGCCAGGAAGGCGCCACCTGTGTTGGACCACTGGCAGACGAGCCGCGTGTTGCACCGGCTTCACGTGTCGCAGCAGGTGCCAAGGGCAGAGCGGAGCTGCAGGAGGCTGGTGGAGCGGGCATGGAGGGATGTTTGGTGCGAGCAGTCGGCTGTGCTCCAATCCTGCTCCAATGATGGCTTTCTCCGGTTTTTCGCACGACGAGGGCTTCTCCCAAAAAGCAGGTTCCGCAAAAGACTCATGGTCGCATAGTGACATGTCCAGCCCACGGGCCAGAGCCAGGTCCTGCAGGCCACAGTCATTGCAGAGCAGCTTGGTCGGAAGTGGTGGGAGCACATATCGCATGCTGGCTCTTGTCTCACTGTGTGTGACATCTCACATCGCCTGTGAGGCCCAACGTTGGCTACTGCCAGGGCATGAATTTCGTGGCAGCCACCCTGACATGCCCCAAGGTCTTAAAGCGAGCGGTTGCGGTGTGTGCCCATGAAGCTTTCGAGACCAACCTCTCAAGGCTAATCCATCTCGGTTCAGCGAGCGATGCCTTTTGGATGTTGCTCGCTCTGCTGGAAAGTTGCTGCCTCATGGCCAGCATCAAGACCGCACCGCCTTGCCCGCCTAATGTGGCAGGCTATCACTACAAGTTCGTCTTCGCTCCAGGGGTGAAGAACTGAGAATTTCTGTGGCCTCGCAAGCCCCTAGCCGCCAGCCGCTAGTGTTCAGGTTCCACTCCTGCCGTCGGGGACTCAGGGGGCCACAGGGAAGTGCTTGCAAATGAACGCTTTTGTCAAGAAGGACGTGCCTGGTTTGCATACTGTTGGCATGGCTGCATGCACTCGTAGTGCCACCAACGAGGCTTCGCGTTTTCCAGTTTGCCGGCGTCGTGCAGAGATGCTTGCCCAGACTGTGGCGACACCTCAGAGAGGATGACTGCACTCTTGGGAGCCAGAGCCATCGAGCAAGAACCAAAAGTGCAAGTCTGCGACGTTGTTGCAGCTGCATTGCCTGCAGGATGGACATTCCTTGGAGATTTTTGCTCACCAGTGTGTCTGCCCGCCAGCACATCCTGCAGGTCATGTGCTGCGTTCCTGACGGTAGTCAGGTGCTGACGCTTTTCTCCTACAGCTTGGAGTGGGCAGCTTAAACGGCCGCCACTCGAGGCTGTTTGAGGCTTCGCACTTGTAAGGCCTGGTCTTCTTGCATTTGTCTACGATGCTTTCTTCCTGCAGGGCTGGAAGGCGACCTTCTTGACCTGCATCGGAGGCAGTATAATGAACTGCTCAATTGCCAGGCCGTCTTCCGAATAGGCCGGTGGCCAGAGCATTGAAGCTAGAAGTTCGGTGATGTGGAGCGGCCACAACATTACATTCTAGGAAGACTCCCGTTCAAGGTGCCGGCTTGCTGGCATTTCTGGAGGACCAGCTGCGCCAAGCTTACAGAGAAAGCGAGCCCCGGTGGCCTTTCCTGGCGGAGTCACTGAGTTAGGCTGCAGATGAGCCTCGAGGACATCTCACACCATCTGCACCAGACCAACCCTCAGCTCGCTCAGCTCGAGTTGAGTGCGAACGAGTCGCGCTGCCGTGCGTGCTGCCGTGCTCGTGAGATTTGCGTCTCGCCGCAAAGGTGCAAGAAGCATCTGCGCCTTCCACGCCACAATGGGCCATTGTCCCACACTATCGCGGCAGTGCATCCCGTGGCTTTCGCTTCACTCTTGAGCATGAGAAAATGCGTGCGGTACGTGGGGTTCGTCATTCAGAGAATCGGAGGAGCACGCAGCTTTACCTCGAAATCCTTTGATCCGAGAGCCGGGCCGAGGCAACTCGGCCCCGCCGCCTTCCGCGTGCTGCTGCGCTTTGACGTGGGCCTGGGGAGTTTCCCGGCAAGATGTATTGGGATTAGGACTTGCACCGCGGCCCTCAAATTTCCTTCATGAAATTCCACGAAGTCAGGCGTAGCAACCAGCTGAGGCCTCGAGGAGCTGGAATCGGGCTTTCAACTCCAGCGGCTCGAGGCGATTGCCCGTGGTTCTGTCAGTTTGGAGTGAATGCTCAAAAGTGGGAGTCTTGAAAGCCAAACGATCAGAGTTCTTGCAGCAGCGTTGCTGTGTTCTGTCAGACCATGGCTCCGGCACCGCCTCACGCAGAGAAGCTGGCAGGTGCTGTTGTCGCAGGTGAGCGTCCCCGGTGAGCACGATGCTCAGGCTGTGGATGGGATGCATGTCTGCATGCATCTCCATTCCAACAGAAGCCTGCTTCTCCACAGTTAGGCAGGCATTGCGTTGTTCGTCTGAGTCTTGGCTCCGGTGTAGTCTACAGACTGGCACATCATGCAGCTGCCAAGATGCTTCGTTCAAACACCAATAGCACCCGGATCCAGCTTCTATGAGGAAGCACAGCATCCAAGGGCACACCCAACTTCCTTCCGCGATGGGTGTGCCTTACCCAGCGTTGCGAAGCGACGGCGGCAGCTCTGCGGGTGGCCTTCGGCAAGGCCACACTAGCAGCCAAACACACAAGATGGCGTTGCAAAGGATGGTCAGGTCTCAGTCATCCCCCAAACCAGTAAACAGGCTGCGATTTGCTTTAGTGCGGGACGTGCCGCTTCAAACTCATTGTCTGCGCAGCCATTAGCTCAATCGTTGGGGGGCAGAGCCGACACAACATACAATGTGGGCCCTCGTCCTGGCATTGGCTGCCCAGCTCGGCACAGCGCAGCCACCCACCACGAAACTTTGGAATGGTGTGGACACTGGGCAACATCCTTCAGTGTTCTTCACACAGTCACTGCTCCTGCGCCGAGGAGATGCCGATGATAGCGGCAGGGTCCTGGCAGCACCGCGCCGTTATCGAAGCAAAGAGGGGCATGTCGACAGCAACAGCTAGTCCGCCCTGCCATGGCAGCCTTCAGCCGCCATCCGAGGTACAACATTTCAGAGGCTTACCAGTCTCACAAGCTTGCACTCAAAGCTGGGTTCACTATGCTCGTTGCTTGTTTCAATCAGCCCCACCGGTTCGATCTATGGAGGCAGCGGGAGGTTCCTTTACATACACGCAGTCTAAGAGTTTCCTTGTCAGACTGCTCAGGACACGGCCTTGGACTACCACAACCAGGAGGGTGTGGGCCGTGCAGTCAACGAAGCAGGCATGCGCGAGAAGATCTTTGTTGAGACAAAGATTCCGGGCTGCGGCATGGATAGTACGATGTTGAATGTTTTCAAATGCTATGAAAACACCAAGCGGGACTTGGAGCTAGATCTTGCCAAGCTGAATCTCTCCTACGTCGATTTGGTCATCGTTCACTTCCCACCGATCTCCTCAATGGTGACTCGATCATGCAACAGCTGGTCTGGTGGTTGCCAGATGGTTCGTGCGCAGTGGAAGGCCATGGAGGAGTTCTACAAGCAAGGCAAAGCGCGTGCGATCGGAGTGTCGAACTACTGCCCCAGCTGCTACGACTGCCTGAACTCCACGGCCACAGTCCTCCCCATGGTGAACCAGGCGTGGTCTTGAGCAGATTGATGGCCATGTGCTCTGGTGCAAGATTCCCACTGTTGCGTCAGGTGCAGCTTCACCTGGGTATGGGGACCGATCCAGCTGGTATAGTGTCGTGGCACAAGAAGCGTGGAATCCAGCTCCAAACCTACAGCGTGCTCGGAAACACTGCTGTCAGCCACAAAGCTAGTGCCTCGGCAGAGCTCCGCGTGCCTTTGCACCAGCAGCATGCAGGGTCCATGGTGATTACGCCGCTGTTGCCACCACCTCCGCTAAATTTTGAGTCGGCATGAGTTGGCACATCTGCCAGGTCCAGAGATCCTAACAGGGAACCTGACCACGAGCATCGCCAAAGCTCATGGAAAAAGCTCCGTGCAGGTGGCACTTAAGTGGGTGGTCTCGCAAGGCACCAAACCTGCTCGCTGAACCATGAGCACATGAGCAGAAGCAGATTCCGGTGTCACTTGCCCAGCCTGCCTGGAGGGATTCCCGCTGTGACGAAGTCGGCCAGTGCAGAGCATCTTTCCGCGGATCTGGACCTTTGGTCTTGGGATTTCACGGACGAGGAGAGGGGGGGGGGGCTCAAGCTTCCAGCCTCACCTAAAAGCCTTCCTGGCCCAGGAGAAGCAGGCACTGGATGCAATGAGCTCTCCCAAGGGCTCCTACTCCTTCGGGTGCACGTCTGAAGACATGAAGATTTTGGTTTGATGCCGTCGGCGGTTTGATGGCATTCGAAGAATGCCTCTGCCAAGCGGAGGGCTCTGACGACATCATCTTGACTTTGGGAGGTGCTTGGCCTCTCAGAGCCAGATCATGTCACAGACATGTTTGCAAGCTTCCAAAACTGCTGTTGGTCCGCCACGCATCAGTGCTCTTGCCATGTACATGTTCAGTGTTCGTGAACCAGCATGTATCGAAGAAATGCACGGCTGTGCCTGGTCCTTTTGCCTATGCGAGCGATGCTACATGAGCGTTTGCGGAGTCATGTTACTGGTAGTGTGATACATTGAACAGTGTGCAGGAGCAGCATAACTCCTCGAACATCAAAGCAAACAATGGCCACTAACTATGGCATCGGACAGACAAACAAAATGCTTTCATCGCTTTTGATTCTGCGTTGTGCACAGTTGGGGTGGCCATCTGCTGCTGCATTATTGCACGGCATGTCAGGCTTGTGCCCCGGTCCAATGGCCGCACCGCCCCTCATGTGAGATGGAGCCACTCTCTGTCGCTGCGGCCCGAGAGACCGACATCCGGAAGAATGTGCTGCAAGAGGTTGTGTCGAGGAGCTTCCGACGCACACTGCATGCCGTGGCGCGCATGAGATACCTGGCAGTACTTGGCTCCTCTTGCCGAGCTCCCCTTTCCTTTCAGCGATGCCGAGTTGAAACAAGAACAGCGCGCGACTTTCGACGGCTTCTGTAGCCACAAGATCTTTTGTCAACCTGCAGGCAACACAGCTCGGATGCATGCCCCGTAGGTCTCTCGCTCCCGCTCTAACCCCAACATGAGTGGCAAGGAGGAAACCCCAGAGCTGAGGAAGCCACACCAGCTCGCCTGAGTCGCCACAGTCATCGTGTACTCGGGAACACGATGAGGGTCGTATCTTAGGCGTGGATGGTCGAAGGACGGAGGAAGATCTGTGAAGACTCGGGCTCTCTGCCAGGCCTCCACATGGACAACGGCACTGAAACCGGGCCTCCGCAGCCAAGTCTTGCACAACGACTTCGTCGACTCCCACTTTGGCTATGCTGCGGTAAGGAGAAGACCAAGGCGGCGCAACTCTTGCCGATATGCTAGGCTGCTGGTGGCTGCTAGTCATCACGTCTTGTGACGATGCCGAGAGGCTAGTGTAGGGCTCAGTGTGTACAGGACCTGGCCAGCTTCCGACTTGCAGAGGCCGAGCGCCGTTCTGCCCAGGACCTCTTTCGCGAGCCCTCAACCCACCTCCCAACAGTCCCAACACCATACTGCAAAGGGGTGCGGCGTCATTCTGCTGCAGGCTGCATGCTACAACTCCCTAGCAGATCTAACAGCTCCACGCACGCGAGAGCTTTGGCAGCCGCAGCATGATTGCAACTGCTTGTCAGACAGAACACAACATAGTGACGTATACATTCTAAATACAGCAAGTGCAGCGTGGTGCCGTGGTGCCGTTCTCTAGGCTAAGCCTCTCCTAGTTCTGTCGGAGCACGTGCCCGGAAATTCCCCCGGGCCAGACCTCTTAGCGGTCATAGGGGGCTCAAAGTAAGCCTGATGCGAGGAGTGCCTCCAACGTGCACGTCAGGCAGGTGATTCACTGTGCACGCATTTGGGAGCCATGCAGCTTGTGACATAGGTGGTTTGTTCACGGGTACTTTTGGTTTGGCCTGAAACAGTGCCCGAAGACACAGACTTTCCACAGACCCACCACGCAGACCCACACACCCATGCACACACCCACCCACCCACGCACCCACCCACCCGCGCATACGATGCCAACGGTAATCCTGGTTTCAAGTCCAACTGCATATAACTACATCAAGCCATGAAGTGCCAACTAATGCCGACCTCTGCCGACTGCATCCAACTGATGCTAACTCCGATCTTCGCAAGGCACTTGCAGAATCTTGCAAACATTGCAAATTCAAAGGGCAGGTGCGCTGGGTGGAGCAGAAAAACCCACATCAGCCGTGGTATAGCCCTCTTTGTTGGGCAACCAGCCGACTTAGAACTACAGCAGCACCCGACACCGAACGCAGTGACACCCAGAGAGGCACGGAGTGAGATACGGCTCATCAGCCTGTGCAGCTGCCAATCTCCAGGCTGGAGAAGGCGACAAACCTTCGATGTGTTTCATGCGGCAGGCCAGGGGAAGATTGCAAGCCGTTTCAGTTCCAATATCTTATGTTGAAACAGAGGTCGGTGATTGCCAGGGGCCAGGGTCCTAAGGCCTAAGCTCCTTGCCCGGTGACTGTCAGAACTTATCAATGGGACTCTCAGAAGTGACCGAGCATCCCAAACCATTGCAAGGCATCTCAATCACAAGAAGCCATCTTTTCCAACTCCACGCAATCCACAAGACCGAGCTTTTGGTTTTGAAGAGTGGGGCATGTACGAAGTTGACATCCGAAGTTCTGAAGGCCACAGGGGCCCCCCTAAACTGATATCCAGGCGGCGACGAAGCCACGAACACTTCGTTAGATTCGAGTCTCAATATGCGGCAACTGAGGACATTCTGACTGGCAAGTGGGCCCATTTCCAGCTTGGTACTGCCAACGACAAGAAGCCGCGTCAGACCGAAAGCAAGAGCAAGCAGGTGAAGATGAGGTTCCTTAGACTTTGTTGAGAAGATCAGGGGGCCCCTTTGTTGAGAGACCCCAGCTAGAGCTTGAGGCCAATACACGAGGAGCCCGAGCAGCTCTCCGGATGTCCTTTCTGTGCGCTTCACCGGCCCATGGCCGGGGATGTGCTGCGCTTTGAGAAGCCCGGCTGAATCTGGGATTTGGGCTTTGAGTCCACAGCTCGCCTTCTAAGGGAGCTGAAGAACGGCGAGGCCTTTGGAGTTGTAGGAAGTCTGCCATGTGCACAAGAAGAGAGCTTTAAGCTTCAGTCCGCATGCTTATTCGAGACTTTCCAGGCGGAGTACGACTCAATGTGGCAAGCGCTCAAGGATCATTTCTGGTATGTCGCCTGGTCCGAGAAAGAGCCTTCAGGCCTTCAGGCACAAACTGCTGCACAGAAGCCAAAAGCGGGATGAAGCGGGACACCCCAGGCTGAAGATACGTTTGCTGGGCACCGGCTTCGTCGGGACACCTTTGAGCTGGGATGCCATTCGGTCGTTCTGTCTAGTCACTGTCACCAGGGTTAAAACTACCCACATCCGTGCGTCTAGTTGCAATTATGTTTGGCATGGCTCGGAAGTGTTGCCTGCTCCTGCGCCTCCAGAAAAAGCGCCCTTCTCTGGACTGAATCTCTTCGCGCGCAGGACTGGTCACGCCCAGATCCTTCGCGCCACGCACAGGTTCGGGTGGTGCGGGCCTCTGGCACCGAGGACGACGACAGACGACACCACAGACCAGGAACAGAGAAAAGGACCATTGGTGACTTGCTCAAAGCTCCTGGCTCAGGTCCGCAACCTCTTCCCAAGCATGAGCGTGCCACGAGAGTTTTACGATGACGACTACGAGGGAGGCTTTTTGGAAGACAGGGTGGGAAACATGATCAATCCTGCTGTGGAGCACCCCTTGTACCTGCAGGCGGTTCGTATGCCAACGGCACAACCAAGTTCAAGGGTGGGTAGTGGTTTGATTTGCGCGAGCATGCTCCCAAGAGGTGCCGGGCGTGGGCTTCAACGATGTGGTCATTGAAACACCGTGGCACAATATGTGTGCCGCCCTGGAGAAGGAGGAGCCCCTCGGATTCCCCGGAACGATTGTCGAGATGTGGTTCTTGCCCCGTGTTAATCGTCACTTGATGGGGCCACTGTCAAACTGAAGGCACATTTGCCTCACGCTGCGGGCAATTGTCATCCGGGGCAGAGAGCTGATGCAGAATCCTTTGGTTCGCTACGTGTCGGAATCTTGGACGGAAGCAGCATCGTTTGCATTTTCATGACTCGGGTTGGTGAAGCATCGCTGCACTGCCACAGTCATCGCTTCCGCGTTCGGAAGTGTTTGCCGCTTGTCGTGTCTTGCTACTGAGACTCCGAGGTGTTCAAACAGCATAAGTGCGGAAGCATCGTTCACGCCCATTGGCAAATCATCACGACCCCGTTTGTGCCCAGCTCTGTGGATGCTACTCAGCTGCCTCCACTCATCTTCACTCGCTTTCTCGGTTTTCTGCCGGACACGACATGCCTAGGTGCAGCTCATCCGCGCTGCACGACTCCACCGGCGCTTCAATGCCTGTATCGGCTGCCAGGTGCGGGTTTTTGTGCCAAATGGATATGCGCCAGCTTAGTCGGTCCCAGAGCCGAAGGTGCTCGTAGCAGCACCAACGGGCGCTGCTTCACTGCAAGATGATGTAAGGCTTCGACAAACGAGTAAACGAAGTCCAGACTGTTGACTACTTAGCTGCTTGCCGAGTCTGACTTGGCAAGCGAGCGATTGGTCCTCGAGACGAAGCACTTCGTGGTCTCGGATACTCGGCACCAAAGAGTTCGTGATAAGAAGACACAGGGGGCACAAGAGATAGCTTGTCCTTTTACCTTGGAATCACAAGAGCAGCCTTGCTCTGTCGAAATCTATCGTGAGCTCCTAGGCGCCTCCATTTTTGACAGCGTCGTCGGCTGCCTGCCACTGAGGCACCTTTCGCTTGCCGCGAGCGCTGGCGGCTGTACCTTGCACCGAAGCAGCACTCGCCGGCCGGGTCCCCAATGCCATCTAATGCCCATTGTCACGGGGCAGTCGGACAAGGGTGTGCAGCCCGACGCTTCAAAAGAGGATTTCTTTGCCACCACGGAAGACGAGCTGGTTGACCTCGCACATGTCTTGAAGAGGGTGCTTCAGTTGCCGCTTGCTTGCAGTGGCCTGAACGCGGTGAGTGCGTTTAGAGTTTAGAGCGAAAACAATAAACAATCAGTGGCTCTGAGCTCCAGAAGATGCGCCAGTCGAAGGGGCTCGCTCCAGATGCTGCCGGCATGAACTCGCTGCAAACTAGGTATTACCACAAGCTGGATGACTGCCCCTTCAACATTGCAGTGTGGACGCGACCGACTGTTGTCGAAGATGATTCATGGCTTCGAGCCTTCAGGCACGCTCCAGACAGCACATATCATGAGCCTGCGCCGTTGTTGCATCCCTGAGGTCGGATTCCGGGGCAGATGGCTGCCTGTCACAAACGCTAGCTGTTACAGTAGCTCCTGTAGTGTTGCGTGGGGCAGAGGGATGCTTGCGCGAACAGGGTGGGAGGGGCTACGGACCTACATGCCGGCGTAGTCATGGACACGCAGAGACACATACTTGTACATACATGCAGTTGGTTGTTTACATGTGCATTTGTCGATGAGAAAGTGCTTCCATTTTCTTTGATGTTGATGCCACTTGCGAGAGTTCAGTGTAGAGGATGCGATTTTCTCGCCGCCCAGCCCTACTACACACTGCATCCAGGTTTTGAGCTGTAGTTGCAAGCTGTTTTTGTCCACGAAGCTGAACAAACGGCAAATATATGGCATGTTCTCGAGCTTGTAAAACGAATCATTCAAGTGGTAGCATTTGGCGAATATGAACCTGAGCCTTAATCCAACAGGGTTTCTGTGAAGGTTGCTACTAGGTCTTTGAGTTTATCCTCGCACACAGCTTGGCAGCACCCCTAACGCGAAGAGTCGTGGTAAGGGGAGCGGGATGATGGGTTGGAGAGCGACCAAACAAAACCGCTCGCAAAGATCACTCGTTCACTTGCTGCTTCCCCCATCCTTTGTGGGTGACTGGGTCAAGATCGAAGTGGGGAAATTGTTCGATTAATTCGGTCGAAAACGGGTGCAGATGTTTCACCCCATGAGTGGTCGCATCATCCGCTTCATCTTTCCGAGATTCCACACATGCGTCTGCCCTGACTGTTTCTGCGGCAGCAGCAATCATCACAGCCTTTTAAAGCACTAGGGAGGAAGTCAAAAACGCAGGAAGCAGGAGGTGCCAGCGCCAGCTGTGGAAAGTGGGAGAAGTTGAGGTCCTTGATTAATGGCGAGTGGATTTGGGCATACGAAGGCAAGTTTCATGCACTTGCTCAGGGCACGGTTGAAGAAATCGGGTTGATACACCAAGAAGACTTTCAGCCGTACTAGCGCAGGCGTCTAACTGTGGGAAACTGATCACAACACGAAGACACGCTTGAGTTCGTGCCTTGGGGCCCTGGTCTGTGTGTCCTGAGCAGCAGCTCGTCTACATTAGTCTCTGCATACTCCTGCCTTGTCTGCCGAGATTGCAGACACTTCCACTGGCACATCGGCTTCTATCCAAGAGGCAAACCAACGCCACAGGGCTTCAAGAATGCGACGGACATTGCACCGATGAAAACTCTTCCGGATGCTCGTCGCGGTCTTCTCGGTTCTTTAGGGCAACACAGCTGGTCCGCTGGTCTTTCTGCAGCTATTGGTAACGACTCGCCTTCCAAGGAAGATGATGCGGCCATCATGCGGCAGTGGCTCAAGGAACTCCAGTGATGTCGAAGTTGACCCGCCGGATCTGAGGCCCTCTGAGGACGGTCAGTTTTTGCCCGAGGCAGTGGGAAAGCGGTGTAGATGGCTGAGGTTAGGATTTCCCAGAGCCACGGGCTGCCTTCGCGCACCTTCGCGCATCCTGCCGGGCAGAGCCCGCCATCCAGCACATCCTGCGAGTGCACGGGCTTCATAGGCTTAGTATGCCGTGAGAACCCGACGTCGACGAAACCAGCAACCAAGCTAGCATCATGGCAGTCACATTCCCTGAGCCCGAGTACCTTGGACAGGGTTGCACCACAGGGGCGCAGACTTTGTGGTGTAGTGCACCAGTACATTGAGTGGAGGTCGCATCTCGACTCCTGTCTCCCGACTCTGTGCGCAACCAATGGTAAATTCTGCGGGAGCCAAGATGGTAAACTCTGATTCCGATAGATTCCAACAGCCGACACTCAGATTCTAGACTTCTTTGTAGATTTTGTAGGCAGCCTGGCGATCTAGTGCAAGAGGACAGCATTTACTTCAGCGCAGAGAGAGATGCTTGCAGCTGGAGAGCCACGCCCCGGGACTGCGCGAAACACTTCCGATTCCGAGCTGTTACAAAGCATAGTCCCAGAGTCTCGCACTGTTTCAATATCACCGCTGCTGCTCCGGAGCGTGGTTGACAGATGGCTCTGCCACAAACGTGGCTTGTGGACCACGGCAAGCGTAGGCATAGATGCTAGACGAACCGGATGATCCTGGTTCTGCTACAAGCAGAGGCCGCTAGCGTGCAGCTTTGCGGTTAGCAAGAAGGCAAGGCTTGCAAAATTCGCTTCTCGCAACATCTGATTCATCAGCAGCTAGAATGAGTGTTACTTACTAACCATTTGACGACCAAGGACAAGACACGAACAGAATATACAACAGACACTGTTATAGTTTATTAGCCGTGCATCAACTAGGTGCAGAGTAGACAACAAATAGAGAGACAGAGATATACGCATGTCAGAAAGTAACACAATCCCGCACAGAGATCAGCTGTACTAAATCGGACACCTTTCCAGACAGAGGACAATCAGAGTAACGAACGTTGACGAAGAATGCAGGAGCCTTGAGTTTGGAAGCCTTCCGCGAACGGTTGGACGGCTGCTTTGAGCCAGGTGAAACACAGCACATGTTCGAAAAAGGTCCAGTGCGAGATGAATTTGCAACGGTTGAATGGATCATGAGCAGTAGTGAGAAGAAGACTTGCTTGGAAGTGCTGGTGGCAGGCTTTGCGTCTTCTTCCTGGGGTGCTGAAGCACGTGAGCGTTTGTTTGTTTCACTTGACTTCCCCGTTATGCTTCTGAGCCATCGTCTTGAGCAGAAATTGACCACGGCGGGGAACATATGTCTCACATCATCGGACCAATTCGTGCACGGGCTCTTGCCACCTTACATGCAACATATCGGCCGGCGAAGCAGCCCCGAAGGCCAAGTGCCATGCTGGGTAAGGGTTCATTGAAAGTCACCGTCACGCTGCACGACAATCAGCAGAGGCCGGCAAGTCTGCAGTTGTTCCCACAAAATTCTGTGGCAGGTGCCCGCCGTGGACGAGCCTCTGCCAGAAACCTGGCAAGCCAGAAAGCTGCTAAGCATGCCACACGGGACGCGGAGTCTGACTTCCCTGAGGCCTGCGGGTCTTGAGCGAAGCTCCTCGCGCAATTGTTCCTTTACTGAGCTCAGATCTTGCGGCTTCGGCTGAGTTAAGAAGGGGCTTGATGAGTTCCGTGAAGGCTTCCTCGTGGACGGAAACAGCCTCAGGAGATGGGAAACGTTTTGGATTTGCTGAGACACCTTAAACGCCCCCTTGCTGAGACACCTTAAACGCCCCCTTGTGACCCCGGACAGGAGCGAGAACTTGCCTCCGAGAGGCCAGCGAGACGGACCAGCCTGCGGAACCTAGCAGTGCTTTTTGCTCGAAGGAGCACCACATTTTTTTCCAGTTGAAGCGAAATGTGCTTGGGTAAGAGCCTTGCAGGTGGCACCGTTGTCGGAAGCCCCTCCACCCTGCTCAATCAAGCCGGAACAAAGGAGGCCAGAGGGTTTTCTAAACCAGCAGCAAGAACTTCGGCGCAAACTGGAGTTGTGGGCTCCCATTGCCTGCAGGGGGATTCGAGAGTGTGTCCAGAGAAAGTTGGGAGGAAGGGGAAACCTTGTCGCTGGCAAGATGGATCTGCAGAGAGCCTCGGAAGGCATTGCATGTCAACCTGGCTGAGCTCAAAGAGCTGAAGGTGCTTTCACCAAGTTGACACGTTCTTGCCGCGTTGCAGACCTTGGGTCGAAATTGCGAGGTTGAGCTCCTGCAGTTCGACGAGCAAACCCAATTTGATGTCAAGGAGTTTCGTCGTCGCATTGCTGAGGCAAGTGGCGGCTCTTGCCTTCCATGCTCGGCCTTGCATTGTGAGCTTGCGGCAGAGGCCGACAAAGAGCTTCTGGGTCTTCTTCGCAGCAGCGCCGAGTTCCGCATGGAGGCGCCTACTCTGATACACTCTTGGCAGAGCAATGTTTTGTGTCTACATCTGCAGGTGGAAGATGCGGAGTCAGCATGGAAGAACAAGCAGGCATACAGGAAGGTGGGAACTGTCAGTTCAATGCGTCTCACTGCCTTCCTTCCCTTTCTGCAGATGGTTGCTCTCACCCAGGCCTTGATGGACGCTGTGCAAGTGGTCTTCGCCTTCAGAGTTCGTGATGATCGTGTTGCGACTGATGCATTGCAAAAGCGAGGCCGTGGACTCTGCCAGGCCTTCCGAACCTATGGAAGCTGCCCCCCAGGAGAGACATGAATTTTTGCTTAATGACCCATGCCTATTGCAAGAAGCAGATAGAAGCCCGCAGGAGCTTGTAGCCGACTGCCGCGAAAAGCCTTTGCCTCGAGCTGGGCTTTGGAGTCCAGACGGTGAGGCTTCATTTTCAGGAATACCTTTCGTTAATTCATCCAGCAGCTGCTATATTAGTTTGGACAGCCGCTTCGAGTAAGGCTGCAGAGGCTGCAGATTGAGATCTTGGAAGACGAGAGGAGGCGACAGGCCAGCCGCCGGACTGTCATGATTTTGACCAAAGAGTCGTTTAGGATACGACTGTCACTCTAACTTAGGGTGGATCCCGACATTTTGGTTGCCTGACAGCTTATCTTGTCATGAGTAACCTGGACGACATGTTGCACCATGTGCCCTTGTTGATTTCATTCCGATTTCCACATGACTGGCAGCTAGGCACGATTGGCTGAGCTGGAACCTCGGAATTTGTGCTTCTTTGTCACGTCTGAGGAGGCTTGCACCCCTCCCGACGAGCCTGATGAACAACAGGTTCAACGAGCTCTGTGAAGACATAGCAGAGCTCAAAGAGGCTCACTGTATGAAATGGGACACAGCACCATTCGCTTTGATCCGCAGTTGGCACCGGTCTTTTTGGGAACCTGTTTTTGCAGGTCAAGCAGCGGTCCATGCTGCAGTTGCAGTCATTTCTGGAGCTGCGTGACCAACAGAGGCACAAGACTATCATAATGTGTTAATCCTCGGTATGCGGCGGCATCCAGCTGAACACCTTGAATGCACAGCACGCAAGATGCCGCCATAAGGTTTAGCGTGTCCTGACGCTTTCGTTTGCCTCATGGGGTGATCCGGTTCCAAGGCTTCTGAACCACATAAGGCACTCGGTGTCTTGCCTGCTTGTCGGATTTCTCCCGACGGGCAGTGCGTAGCGTAAAGAGTATGTGACGGGGCACTCCGAATTCACGACAGCAACATGTTGCGAACGAGAAAGCGATTCTGAGCCGAGGTAACTTGGCTGAATGGATTGATAGCAGAACTTTGAACGCTTGAACGCAACTGCTCAGTATCAAAGCACGAAGAGAGGTCCCACATTCCGGGAGCATGACGTGGTGTGACCGGCCCCGGGACACCACACATTTGTGCGTTTGTACCTGCGCAATATCTTTACAGGACGGAGGTGTGACAGAGGCACTGAGTGACAGTGGTGACATGTGGTGACGAGGGTAAGTAACATGCAGCCATGATTATGATGATAGGCCATCAGGAGATTCTCACCCAACTGCTCGCGGACTCGTCATGTCCCACTGGCAGGCAGGGCAGGCTGAAGAATGCGGTTGCGCAGCTCATGCCTTTGGCGCCAGTTGACTTGAATCGCCCCTTGACTGCATGCTGAATTTCCATGCAGGTTCTCTGGTCCGAAGACAGAAAAACGAAAGAGGGAGATGAGGGCACTACTCGTTTGAGGGGCACAAGCCCTAGTACTTCCAAGCCCATCCAACCAAAATGGTGGATGTGGCAGCTGACGAGCGGGCTTCTCTCCACTTCTGCGAAGACCGCCCTTTCTCTTCTCGAGCAGAGCCTCAGAACTCAGCGTATCGCCGACACCACAACCCTGGTCCCTGGGACAGCGTTTGTCGGCACTTGAAACGAAGGTCAAGGAGCAAGCCTTCAACTTGGCAAGGATGGTAGCAATCGCGAGGGGAGGCGTAGCCGCCAGAAAACCTGGCCCGGCAGCCATGAAGCTGAAAAGGATTGGGAAGCGATTCAAAGCCGGAACGTACTCCACAAACGGGTTGGGCTGCGGCAATTCCGCTTGAAATATCAGGGGCAGCGGTTGGCAAGCCTTTGTGTACCCAAGCGAGCAGCCTCCGTGTACCGAAGAGAAAGCGGGGGGATGTGGGGAGACTGCAAACCTGACCCGGCCCAGCGCAAGTATTTCAAGATTGAAAGTTCAGTCAGCAGGCGGATCGGATAGAATTTAATTTACCCCTAAAATAGGTCCGGATGTGGAACCGCCTGTCTCAGTTCTCATTTGTTGACTGGCATACCCAAACCCAAAACCCCAAACCCTAATCCGCAAGCGGAAGTTAAAGTGTGACGAAAAGGCTGCGGCAGAAAGCCCGCAAACTGAACATCCCTGCCAGGCGGACTCGTCCTTGCAGTGTAGGAGGTAAGAAACACACGAGGAAAGGGGTGAGGAGTGGCAACCTTGAAGCCCGAAATGAACCAGAGCGAGAGGAGATGTCCGGGGGGCGACAGGGCTTCAAAATCCCAAAAAGGAGGACCATGGACCTCGGGATGCCGGGATGATGCTCAATCAGCGGGTGGATCGGGTAGAATTTAAACTCTAAAACAGGTACCCACTTGTCTCAGTTCTCATTTGTTTGACTGGCATACCAAAACCCAAAAACCCGAACCAGTGGCAGACCCTTATACGTCAATGCAAGTTCATCTGCAACGAAAACACGAGATAAACCCGCGTGCTCGCTGGCTGCTCATGCGCTTCGCAAACTTGCCCGACGTGAGAGTCGGAAACAGGTGCGCGTGTGGGACCGCCTGTCTGAGTTCTCGTTATTTGAACTGACATATCAAGTGCGCGTGTCAAAGAAGAGGGTGGGCGAGAGCAGCAAACTTTAAAGGCTTTAAATGCAGAGGAGCAAGCCTGCGCCGCAACCATGAAGCTGAAAGGGATCGGGAAGCGATTCAAAGCCGGAACGTAGATCGCAAGCGGATTGTTTGGGCTGCGGTAACTCCGATTGAAATATCGCGAGCAGCGGTTGACAAGCCTCCGTTTACTAACGGGGCGAGGGGATGTTGGGGGAGACTGCGAACCTGAACCGGCCCAGCGACCATATCTCAAAACGCATGTCGATGAACCTGGGATTCCACGGCATGTGTCAAAGATTGGACGTCCAGCCAGCGGGCGAATCGGATAGAATCGCATAGAATTTAAACCGAAACCCTAAAACAGCCTTAAAGCAGGTGCGGATGTGGAGTCGCTTGCCTCAGTTCTCATTTGTTTGCTTTGCATACCAAAACCCAAAGCCCCGGACCGGTGGCAAACCCTAATTCACTTCGTCAACGCAAGTTCAATTGCAAGGTGCAGCACGCCCTGAAGCATGCTCGTTGGCTGCTCGTGCGCGTCGCAAACTTGTCCAACACGAGAGCCAGAAACAGGTGGGGGTGTGAGACCGCCGACCGCCAGTCTCAGTTCTCGTTTGTTTCACTGACATATCAAGTGTGCGTGTCAAAGAAGGTGGGCGGGCGGCAGCAACCTTGAAAAGGCCTTATTTGCGGAGGAGCAAGCATTCAACTTTGCAAGGGTGGTTGCAGCCGCCAGAAGACCGGGCCCGGTAGCCACGAAGCTGGTTGGGATCGAGAAGCGATTCAAGGCCGGAACGTAGACCGTGAAGGGATTGGCTGCGGCAATACTGCTTGAAATATCAGTTGGCAAGCCTCCGTGTACCGAAGGGAACGCGGGCATGTGGGGGGGGGGACAAACCTGAACAGGCCCAGGGACTTTTCTCCCAAGACCCATGTCGATAAGGGGCGAACCCAATTCAGACCTTTCCGGACTTACCCATTGAAGACCCCTGCCTGCAAGATAACCCTGTACCAAGTATGAAATGCTTCATGTTTGTAGGTTCAAGAGACGGGATCTGCGGTGTGCACTTTCAGAGCATCTTTGGCTGCCAGCAGGACGCATGTGTGAGCCTGGCAGGGGTTGAGGGCCTGCGTATCCGGGCCGTGCCGCAAGGCCGGATTCTGCCCGCAGGCTTGCTCGACCCCATGGGCCAACCCAGCCGGGAATTGGGCTGTAAAAGCCTGCGAACGGATTTTGTCTGCAGGCTTGCTCGGGCCCCAACGCTCCTCGCTCACCCTAGTCCCGAGCCTTAATTCACACACCCCTTGCATGTTTGTTTCCTGGTGGTTTTCCCTGTCGTGCTGCCCTTGCCTCTGTACTGTACCGGAATTCGTTTGCAAGCCCTTGCCGCTGCTGGACTGTTTCCTTGATTTCTTTATCCGGACCATGGAAACGAGGCTTGGGTTTTAGTCCTACTTCTATGGTTGTACTCCCTGACTTTATTGGCTTTTGACTTGCAGCGATGAAGTGAGTGGCACATGGAGGACACCCGGGTTTCTACTCAGGATACCACCCTGTGATGGTCTTCACGTTGATGAGCACGGACCAAAGCAACAGCAAAGAGCGACTGACTTGAGGCCATGAATGCAAAGTTTCCAATACCTCAATGTGACCACCAGCCCGGTAACAGCCCTGCTCTGGAGTGATCCCCATCGAGATGACTGAAACAACATTGTCGAGGAATCCCTCTGGTTGGTGCAACACTGAAGTTACCGCAGTCACATGTCAGCCATGGCTACAGGGAGGCCGCACTTAAGATAGTGCGCCGCCGGATTCTGTGAGAACCCATGGTGCTGCAGACTCGAAAGCTTTTGACATTAAGAGGGCAGAAAGCTGACTCGTTGATGCCAACGATGCGCTGCCACCTCGGTGACCTGTCTGCACGCTGCATGACCTATACCTGAATCATGTGGAACCTCTCGAGCCCGACGCCTTCTGAGTTTGGCCGGACAGTGAGACGGTGTAGTATGGCGTTGCTGAAAGAGGACCTGAGGAAGACCCATTTTCGCCCCGCCAGCGCAAGTTTAAAGCAAGTTCAACTGCAACGACAACACGGGAGCAGCAAACCCTGAAGCCGCATGCTCGTTGGCTGCTCGTACGCCTCGCAAACTTGTCCAACGTGAGAGTCGGAAACCGGTGGGGGTGTGGGACCGCCTGTCTGAGTTCTCGTTTGTTTGGCAGACATACCAAGTGTGCGTGTCAAAGAGGGGTGTGGACAGCAGCAAGCCTTAAAGGCTTGAAACGCAGAGGAGCAAGCCTTCGCCACAGCCATGAAGCTGAAAAGGCTCGGAAAGCGATTCAAATCCTGAACGTAGATCGCAAACGGATTGGGCTGTAGAACTCGGATTGAAATATCGGGGGCAGCGGTTGGCAAGCCTCCGTGTACCCAGGGGAGCGGGGAGATATAGGGGGATGTGGGGGGAGACTGCGAGCCTGTACCGGCCCAGCGGTCTTATCCCAAAACGCATGTCGATGAACCTGAGGATTCCGCGACATGTAGCAAAGATTGGGCGTCCAGCCAGCAGTCGGATCTTGTACCATTCAAACTTGAACCCTAAACCAGCCCTAAACAGGTACGGAGGTGGGGCCGCCTGTCTCAGTTCTCAGTTGTTTGCTTGGGAGCAGCAAGCCCTGAAGCCGCATGCTTGTTGGCTGCTCGCACGCAAACTTGTCCAACGTGACAATCGGTTTCAAGTGGAGTGCGGGACCGCTTGTCTCAGTTCTCTTTTGTTTGACTGGCACACCAGGTGTGTGTGTGTGTGTGTCAATAAAGGTGGGTGGGCGGCATTTGCGGAGGAGCAATGCTTCAACTTTGCAAGGATGGTAGAGTTGCGAGGGGAGATACAGCTGCCAGAAGACCGGGCCCGGCAGCCATGAAGCTGAACTGGATCGGGAAGCAATTCAAAGCCGGAACGCAAGCCCATGAACCAAGGAACGACAACGTCTGAGCCTGAGCATTAAAGTATTTTGCAACGGAGCTTAACAAGCCAAACCTCAGACTCGCGGGGTGAGGAGCTGGAGAAACCCCGAAAACACAAACTGAACATCCCTGCCAGGCGGACCCGTCCTTTCAGTGTAGGAGGCACGAAACACAAGAGGAAAGGGGTGAGGAGTGGCAACCTTGAAGAAGCCCGAAGTGAACCAGAGCGGGAGGAGATGTTCGGGGTGCGACGGAGCTGCAAAATCCCAAAACGCAGGTCCATGGACCTAGGGATGCCGAGATGATGCTAGATCATCAGATGGATCGGGTAGAGTTTAAACCTTAAAACTGGTCCGGATGTGGGACCGCCTGTCTCAGTTCTCAATTGTTTGACTGGCATACAAAAACCAAGAATAACCAAGACCTCGAACCGGTGGCAAACCCTGATTCGTCCACGCAAGTTCAAGTGTAATGAAAGCACGGGATACATCCGCCTTCTCGTTGGCTGCTCGTATGCCTCGCAAACTTCAAACTTGTCCAAGGTGAGAATCGGAAACAGGTGGGGGGTGTGGGAACGCCTGTCTCAGTTCTCGTTTCTTTGATTGCCATATCAAGCTTGCCTGTCAAAGAAGATTGGGGGGGCGACA